ATTCCTGGAGCCTTATTTTTGGCCATGTCCTTCAAAGCAGCCTGAACTTCTTCTTTCATCACCATAGGCTCTTGCTCATATGTTGTTTCATGAATCAGTGTAGAAACAGATATTCTAGGCAGAAGAAACTGGCCTGAGACTGGGGTGTGTAGGGAAGAGGAAGTCTGGGACAGGCTAGAATCCAGGCAGTGAGACAGAGACAGTGAATGTGGAGGCTGGAGTGGCTGGCCGGCAGGCAGGAGCTGGATAATGCAAGGTAACTGAGGCGATGATAAGAAAACTGGGTCAAATCCGAAGAGCTTTGCAATCTTCAAAGATAGGGCTCAGTTGACAACAGATGAGAATGAGGTTCTTGCTGGGGGCCAATCCCAACCCAGGATGCCAGCACAGAGGTAAGTGGCAGGAAGTGTTAGGGAGCTAGGAAGGACCCTCATTCCTTATCATTCCTTCAGCATGTGTACTGAGCACCTGCCAAGGTCTAAGCCCTGTCGTAGGCCCTGGACTCGCACATACACTGGCATGCTTCTACCCTCATGCAGCTTACATTCTAGTGGAGGAGTCATTACACTAGTTTTTGTGATAGTGTCACGAAGGGGGAGGATAGTGTACCACCAGGGAGATTACAAGGAGCAGCTGACCTATTCTTTAATTGCTTCTTCTCTCACTGCCTTCAGCTTGGATCCTTAGCTGCCTCACTAGCAAAACAATTTTCTGATTCTTCTATATTTCTAATTCCAACCTTACGAGTTGGACATAGTTTCTTCTGCTTCTGATAGAAAATTATCTCCAAGACATAGCCTTAAGCGGATAAATAAATAAAAAGACAAAACAGTGCAGGCCTCTGTGGGCCAAATGCCACCATCTTTATAAAAAGGAGGAAAGACAGAAACACATGCTTTCATATGCAACAGCCTGTCTCTAAAAGGAAATAGAAGCTGGTCACAGTGACTGAATACATTCTTTAAAAACAACAACAAACTTAGTGGGTGTGGCAGCCAGGAAAGAAAGAGGGAGGAAGGTTATTGATAACATCTCCTGCCACCCTCCCTTTCTCCCCTGTGGTGACCCACACCCATCTCCACCCTTCATGGGCCCCCAGCCTATTGAGGACTCATTGTAAAAGGAAAGGAAAAAGAGGTGAGAACCACTGCTGATTAATTAGAAATGAGTGCATGCTCCATCCTGTTAAAATGGGCGTTCCACATTGTCTGCCTGGGGAGGGGGATACCAATATGAGTACAGCTCTCTGGACAAAACTTCCTTCTCTGGCTTTTGGAAACATTGAGAGATCCCCTTAACCCCTTCCCATCCACCCCCCCTCCCCCAGCCAACCTGAGAGGATAAGGAAGAGAGATAGTCTTCAGGGTTCAGTGCAAAGAAAGATTTTACTAACATCTAGAGCTACACACCAGGAGACACTTCCATCAGGAACGAAGGCCGTGAACGCTTTACAAGCTGGGACTATTCATCAGGCCTGGGGTTGGAAGATTTATGGACATCTCATGAAATATAAATGAAAAAGTAAATGGAATGGAGGCATCCCTGCTATTTTACACATGAGGACATGAAATCTTAGTGGGTTAACTAACTCGCACAAAGTCATAGTAGTAGTCTGTGGTACAGGCAGGTTTCACACCTGGATCTGTGAGGCTCCAGGGCCCATTCCTTCTGTATCATCTTGCAATAGGATAATAGCACCAAGCAGATAGTTGCTGGACCACGTAGATGGCTACACACCGTCATCCATCCCAGTGGATGACGCCATGAGACAAAATGAAATATTTTTGAAAGCTCAGCGTTTCCCCTACCTCTGTAACGTCCATGGCTCCGTCCATAATCAGCCAGGCTGGGGAGGTTCAGAACAGGACCACTGGGGCAGGCCACTCTGCAGTCCTGAGCAGAGGCAGATTCTTTTTCAGTTGCTGTGGACTTGATTCCAACTCATGTCAACCATATGTGCCAGGGAAAATTTGTGCTCCATTGAATTTTCAGTGACTGTTTTTCTCTGGAAAAGATAGCCAGGCCTTTCTTCCAAAATGCCTCTGGGTGGATTTGAACTGCCAACTTTTTGGTTAGCAGTCAAGTATGTTATCTGCTTACACTACCCACAGATTCCAGGATTCATATAGGAAGGCAGAAATGGCAAGTGGAAAAGAGGCAGGTGGTAAGCAGTCATTTACGAAAAAGCTTGCTCCTGTCATTGTCTGAGCCCTTGAGCAAAGCAGGGATAAAACAAAGCCAGGTTATACACAAGATGGGGTGGAAAAGGGAATGTCACAGCACCAGGGTATGGTGGGCAAGGCCCAGGCAGGGCTGGATGCTTGGCCTGGAGGCCTTCCTGTAAGGGAGGATGGAGTGGAGGTTGGTGTTCAGAAACCATCAGCCAGGCCACACGCTGGCTTCTGTAGAATCTGGGGCCCAGCATCTTGGGCACAAGATAGGAGTGGGGAGTAAGATTGGAATTTACAAACTTCTGTTGTTTTTCAGGTTTCTCCCTCGGGCTCCCTGGGTCCCCTTTCTGTCCCTCCTGTCCACAGCACCATGCCTGGAACAGGTAAGCTTTAAAATGAAGTTTCTGAATAATGCCATAAGTCCCTGAAACAATGTGATAGCAGATCTGAAAGGCCTCTCTACCTATATCAGCATTCACTCTGTGTACTTCAAAGGATCACAGAATCTGTCCTGGGAAGGAAGGGTCTGGGATCAAGGAAGTTTGGGGAAAGCTGAGCAAACAATGTTTAAACATTAAGTGCTTATTTGTTTGTTTTTATTTAATTATAGTGTTTCTCTGCACACAAGTGTATTTATTATACATTCCTAAATGAGCTATAAGTCAGGATGAAGGAAGCCTGGGTCCTCCACATCAATTTTACACAAAAAGTTATATTTTCAAAAAAAGTACCTACAGCATTTCAAAGACCTGGATGCATTGACCACATATCTAGCTGTGCTCAGGAGAATCTCATTTAATTATCAGTGCCCTCACTTCTACTCTTCAAAGTGTCTTAACTCGGATAGTAAATATACCTTGGGCACATGGCCAGGAGAGACTAGTCCTTGGAGAAGGACATCATGCTTGGAAGGGTGGAGGGGCAGCACAGGAGAGAAAGACCCTGGACGAGATGGATTGATACAGTAACTGGGGCAATGGTGGTTAATATGTCAGAATTAGTGAGAATGGTAGGGTTCAGAGATGCTGTACATAGGAGTCACTAAGGGTTGAAGGCAACTCAATAGTACATAGCAGTAACAACAAAGTATCACCCTATCCATAGAACGAAGCTCCCTGGGTGCCGTAAATTATTTGCACTCAGCTACTAAGTGAAAATTTGGAGGTTTGAACCTGCCTGACAGTGCAGTAGAAGAAAGCCCTGGCAATCAGCTTCTGAAAGGTCACAGCCTTGAAAGCCCCATGGAGTGCAGTTCTGCTCATCAGGAGTCAGGATCAACTCAATGGCACTGGACTTTTAGTTATTCACAGAACATGGGGAATTCCCAACATAGAAATTCCCTTTAGTCCAAACTTCCCATTATATGGAGTAAGAAAATGAGTTTCAGAGAAGTGAAGTGAAGTGGCCACAGCCACAGAGTTGTGCAGTGATGTCCTGGCAAACAGACTCAAGCATCTTTGCTTTTAGTTCAGAGCTCTTTCTAGTACCATGTGCCTTTACTCAGGAAACAGGGAAAGTCAGGGGTTGGTCTGTTTCTTCTCTTCCTTTCTAAGGCTTCTTGCTTTCTTTCTGCTCTCACTCCTGCGTCTGGGGCTGTCTGTGCCTGACCCAGGGTGTGTCCTGAGGTAGATGATCTTGGCGTGCATTCTGCTTGCGTTTGGCAAGCCTCGGACTTGCAGAACCAGCTGTGCCACTCTCTAGGGCCTGAGCTGTAGAGAGCATTGCAATGAGAGCTGCTGGGTGCAGTGCTGATGCTCACATGGCAAGGGATAGGCAGATGGTAGGGCAGGGAGGGGGGCCATGTGGGGATACACCAGGGAATTCAAGTGTCTGCTGGGCAGTGGCAGAAGGTTGCTGGACCCAGCAGCACTATTTGCCCTTATGTTTGCCTCTCCTTGTTTTATCCTCAGTCACGTCATCCTGCTCCCCTGGGAACAACAGCAGGTCTTCGTCTCCTGGCTCAGGACTCCACCCCAACAGCCCCACTGCCTCTCAAAATAACTCAAAGGCAGCTGTGAACTCTTCCTCCAGTTTTAACTCTTCAGGGTAAGATGGAGACCAGGCTGTGGCTATCCCAGCAGGACCAAGGGGCATGTGAAAAACTGGATCAAGACTTTGGAGAAACTCCTCACAGGGCTGGATGGGAGGATTAGGGTAGCTTGGGGAGGATGGAGGAAAGAGCCGCCAGTCCCTGTTCTGTGTCCCTGGGGAGGGGGGATTTAGATGACAGCTTCAGCTAGTGAGCAGTCCTGGAAAGGAGCTGATGTCAACAAAGCCAAAATTTCCATCCCCACTTTGAGGGTGGAAATTTCCAAACACTCCTGTCAGAAAGGGCCAGTCCTTCGCTGGACTTCGGAAGGCTCCACTTGATGCCAGAAACCCAGTACTCCTGAATGTTCTACAACAAGCCTAGCACTTCAGTGCAAAGACACTGTGAAGGAAGGGAGCTACTGTCCTCCAAGTCCTCTCAGGGGCAGCTGTTCCTGGGCCTCAGCTCACGAACCAGTGCATCTGCTCTAGAAGCCAGTCTCAGAGCTGAGGCCCCAAGAGCGTCCATCCTATTTCAGAGAAAAACTAATTCTAAAGTAAGCAAGGGGGTTAAAGCCTTGGGCTTATCAGGTCAGATGAATCCACTTGTTCAAACCAAGACAGTCCAGCAAGACAGCCAGTTTTGGAGATCGACTAATTACAGCACAACATCTCCCTCCCCTCAAAAAGGGAATATCATAGAATATAAATTGATAGCTTTTTGCAAATGTTTAAAAGGAGATTAATATACCATGAAATCCACCACTTTAACATGCACCACTCCAGTGTATTTTAGTCTATTCACAAGGCTGTATACCCATCACCATTCTGATCCCAGAGTATTTTCACCATCCCTTGATCATCACTTCCCTTTCGTTCCTTCCTCACATGACTAGATTCCTGATTGACTTGTTTCTTCCTTCATTCTAGATCTTGGTACCGATGGAATCACCCTACCTACCTCCACTGAGACCAAAAATGTTCTCCTACTCCTCTTGGCTCTGTACTGTCCCCCCAGAAGGGAAGGGAGCCCTGCCTTCTGGTGGACAGACTGATTTAAGAAGAGTGGAGGAGAAGCCTCACTCCCAGTGAACCCACACTCTTGCCTTCTTCAGAAGCCTCCTGAGATCCAATCTGTGACTGAACCATGTGCTGACTCTTAATGCTCTTGAAATACAGAGATCTCCTCCTAGGAGTTTGCCCATTTCACCTTCTTTGTGTGCCCACCTTCTCATTCTAAATCTGTTTAGACAGCTTCACTGTGGCAATGGCCTTTCAGAAAAAGGACGTCATCTTTGCAACTCATCTAGGGGCTTCTGGGGAGGGCCATTTGTGTGGTGTGTGAAACTACCAGAAGGGGATATAATGGTTTTGACTCTGAATGTGGCCACATCCCTGAGGTGGTGGTGTTAGGTGCTGTTGAGTCAAGTATGACTTATAGCGATATGAACCCTGTCCTACCCTGTGGCAACCTCACAGTCTGACAAACACTAGCCCAATCCCTATTCTGATCCCAAAATCTGTGAAAAGATTGGAATCTGATATCTCCGTCAAAGCTTTGGTGTTGTCTCTCCTCAGCAAGCATTTCTGATGAAATCTTCATTTCATCTTCTCATTAACTTTGTTCCTAAAACCAAACCCATTCCCTGGTGTGGTCTCTCTCTTCCTTTTTACAGAAGGCTGAGCCCTCTGAGGTTCCCTGGGTACAGTTCTCTGCCCACAGGTGCCTTCTGTCTGCTCATCTCTGTCCAGAATTTGGGGGCACTTGTGCTTCTCTCTCTTTTCATATTTTTCCATATTTTGTCCTTTCCCCACCCCTTCTCTCTGCTGCAGAAGGAAAAACACAAAAGCAAACACAATTACAGTGGGAAAATACTTGTATATAACCCTTTCCTTTTTTTTTTTCATTCTGTTCTCTCCATGTGGAGTTTTATAACAACATGTTTAACTCAGGTGTGATTTTTGAAGACATCTCTGTAATATTTTATCTTCTTTTTAAAAAAGAAAGAAAAAAAAAAAACCTACCAAAGTGTGTAATGCTGTGCTAGCTTCCACAGAGTTCCCACATGGGTTGGGGATCTTTGTTGAGTTCATCGGGAACATATTTCTAGATTCTTTGTCATGAATTGATTTGTCTCCCCAAAATATATGTCGACTTGGCTGGGCCATTATTCTCAATGGTTTAGCAATTATGTAATGATATGATCTGACATTTATATAATGATGTTATTGTCCCCATAACATGATCTGACGTGACCAGCCAATCAGTTGTAAAAGAATTAGTGTGGGATGCAGTACTTAGGTCACAGACCTGATCCAGTGTAAGGGGAGCTTCTCTGGGGTATGGCCTAAATCACCTTTTATGCTATAAGAGCTAAAAGGAGAGAGAAGCAAGCAGTGAAAGAGGGATTCAACTACCACCAAGGAAAAAGAACTGGAAGCACAGTGTGTCCTTTTGACCTGGGGTTCTTGTGCTGAAAACCTCCGATACCCTGGAGAATACTTATGCCAAGATATGTGGAGATCTCCAAGGGTTCTCACAGGTACTAATGGAGATAAAGACCTTACCCCAGACTTGACAGAGAAAGCCTTCCCCTAGAGCTGGTGCCTGGATTCTAACTGTGAGAGAATAAACTTATGTTGTGAAAGCCATTCATTTGTGGTATTTCTATTTTAATAGCCCTAGGTACTAAGACAAATCTCAGCACCAAAGACGGGTGCTACACAAACAGATATGAAAAATGTGGAAGTGGTTTTAGAATTGGGTAATAGTTAAGGCTGGAAGAGTTTTAAGGTGCCTGACAGTAAAAGCATGGACTTAGATTGCCTTGAAGAAACTTTTGGTGAGATTATGGACATAAAAATCTATCCTGATGAGAGCTCATAAGGAAATGAGGAGAGCTATAACATGGAAGGTGTCATAGGTGATGAGAAGCAGGAGCAGAGAAATGGTGACAGCAAAATTAGAAGACTGGTGTGAGATTTTGTGAGAGACAACCCACAGAACAAGAGAGCCCAGTGCCTCATGATAGAAGGCTTCCTGGTGCAGAGTCCTGACTCTGGTCATCTGTCAGCAAACCTAGACCATCTGATCCACAGAACAAGAAACCTGAGCACCTTCAGACCTATTAGTGGAATGGGCCATTCCTGGCCGCTTAATGGTAACATTAAAGAAGTATCTTGCCCAAATAGGACAAGAGGTTAGCCTAGTCCACGAGGCCAGAGGGGGCAAGGAGCCTAGAAGCCAGGAAGCAAAAGTCAAAGAGACAAGAAGTGTAGGAAACAGCGCTGTCTCAGTCTCATAGGGTAGAATCATGATCTTTGGGGTTTGAGGGATGGGGCCATGACCTTCTGGAGTTCCAGACTTAGATTTTCACCAACTTGATTCCAAGAGGTAAGGATGCTCTTCACAAGTGCCAGGGAGATTGGGCTGAAGCCTTTGGTTAAAGCTGAGGAATTGTCATGTCGCAGGGGCAGAAGGTTGAGGCCTCCTGGGAATGAGAGTAGAGTCACCATTCAGTTGGACTTGGAGAAGGAGAACACCCAAATCCAAAAGGTTAGAACTGCTGACTACCACACCACCCCCATTCCTCAGTGGGTTTGGAAAGTAAACCTGAAGCCCAGGGCCAAGGAGCTTCCCCATGGGAACGGAGAACATGGCTAAAACCCAGAGGCTGGAGGCAGGCCCATCGGAGAACAGAGGGCATCGGAGAACAGGGGCTTTCCAAGCCTTAAGAGCGAAGGTAAAAATCATTCTGCTGGATTTTTCACTTGGTGTCTATTATCCCTTCCTTTCCTCACATTACTCCCATTTGTAATGGAAATGTCTGTCTTACACCTGTTGGGCCACTGTACTTTGGAAGCAAATAATGTGTTCTAGATTTCTAAGGCTCACAGACAATGAGGAATTGCCCAGCGTAGATTTAAGACTTTTGGGATGATAAGATGTGCTTTAGATAAGGTAAGGACATTAATTTGATGGGGAGGGCCAAAGAGTGAAAACTAATGGATTGTGTCCCTTCAAAATACAGGTCAGCTTATCTGAGCCAAAACTCTCGGTGGTTTGGCAAATACATAGTGATGTATTCATCCCTATGATGTGATCTCATGGGAAAGCCAATCAATTGTAAGGGGATGAGAGTAGGATGCAAACACTTACTCTGGTAATAGTCCCGATGTGGTATAAGGAGAATGTGGCATGCATCACTTTTTAGATTCTGAGAGATGAGAGGAGTGCGCAGAAAAAGAAGGCTCTAAGTACCATCAAGAAAGAAAACGATGGAATAGAACATATTCTTTGGACCCAGGGCTCCTGTGCTGAAAACCTCCTAGACCCTGGAGAAGCTAGATGCCAAGGCATATGGATATTCCCAATGGCTACTGGGCCCAAGGATATTAAATGACACTAGGACCTTCCCCCAAAGCTGGCAGAGAGAGAAGCTTTTTCCTAGAGCTGGTTGGCATCCTAAATTCAGACATCTGCCCCCCTAAACTATGAGAGAATAAATGTGCGAAAGCAAACTACTTGTGATATTGCTGTTCTTACAGCAGCAAACAATAACTGAGACAGTATCCTTCGTGGGCATGTATGTAGAGGTATAACATGAAGCCATTCCAGAAATGGCAACTTTTAAAAAACATGTTGCATATTAAGGAAAATCCCAAGGTTCAAAGGAATCTCTGTTCCTAAATAAATTTATATAGTGATGATAGAAAATATTCAAAAGTGTTTCAAATGTTTTTTTTTGTCTCATTAGTGCATATGCACACACACATGCCTTGTTTCTTGTTTACTCAAGGATGTCAGAGCCTGCCCTTTTCTGCAGTAACGCTGGCTATCTTGACACATCTTGCTCAGGTGAGTAGTCAAAGTTCACCTCTCCTATCTAAGAGATTTCATTCATTTGCACATGGCTTTTATTTATAGAAGAAATAAGCGGAATTGTAGCCTAACTGTTCAACATCCAATAACTTCTTTTTTTCCCCAACATCCAATAACTTCTTATGATCATGGATTTGACTCAGTTGCTGAACAGTCTCACTTAAAAGTGAGCACAGATTTGCCTTTCCTGTCTAAATGATTCCATAAACTCCCAAATCCAATGAAGTTTGTTTAGATTTCTCAGGATTTAATTAGGCACAAGAGAACCAAGAATAATGACAATAATTGTCAAGGAAAAAATAAATGGATAAAAGATTGTTAATGTTGCTTTTAAAATAATATTTTCATACTTATGGTTGATTTAAGACTAGTGTGATCAGCTATGAGTTTCCAAGACTGTAGTCTTGTGTCTAGGGAGGATGCACTTGGTCCCAGGGCTACTTACTCTCTGCCCCATCTTTTCAGGCTCAGCATACCACCTTCACGTGATTCTCTAGAAGAGTCCCAGATACTGAACATGGTGACTTTTCCATTTCTCCTAGTCTCTAATTAGTTCTTTGTAGATGAATATAAGGCTTTTTTTTCTGTGTTCCCCATGCCTAGGGACCTCTAATGGCCTAGTGGTAAGGAACAACACTGCCATTCCAAAGGCAGATGATTTGGATTCACCAGCTGCTCCACAGGATAAAGATGAACAGTCTTCACCTGTCCAATTTATAGTCTCTGAAAACACACTGGAGGGTCATTTATGAGAACTTGACAGCACATAACAATATCTCCTTGCCTAACATTGTGACTCATTATTTTTAAAAGATGAATCCCTTTCTTTTCCCCTGTAAATACTTTCCAATACCCTTTACTGAGAGAGCTCTCATGGCATAATGGTAAGAAATTGTACTGCAATCCCAAAGGCACATGGTTTAAAACCATGCTGCTACATGGGAGAAGGATGAACAATCTCCTGTGTGATTAATGGCCTCTGAAAACCCACTGAAGGGTCAGCTATGGGTCAGTTCCAACTCAATGGTACACAACAACAACCTTCAATGAGCTAAGAGCTAGGAACACAGAATATACTGTCCATCAGT